TACTTCAGTCTGCGTTCATTTTTACTGACTTGATGAAATCTGTTGAATTTTAGCCCATTTTCATTTGCCTCACTTGAGTCTAAATTAACAGTTAAGCTTCTAATTATGTACCACTATAACCAACTCAGTACAAGGAATCAGCAATGTCTATTTGTAAATTTATGTCTGTGTCTGTGTGCTTAACCCTCTATCCCCATATTTTATGAGTACTCAGAATGAGCTGCCATCAAAACATGACAGAAGATTATCTGATTAACCATTCAGCTATAATGCTTATCTAAATTGAATGCTGTGTAAAACAAATTACAGTTTCCTATGGAAAGTGAAACATATTTTACCTTACACTAAAAATTGCAATTACTCCCCAAATCAATCATGTTTCAAAAGGCTGGTGAATAAACTAAGTTCTCGGCTCCTGTAAGCAGCAGTCCCTTGGTTAGAAGGTGGAAGCAGATAGCTTTTTTGGAAGCTTATTATCTGTGGAATGATTCTTCACTTGAGCACCTGTGCCAATGATGTGGATGTACTGTTTTGCTGTGCTTGCTGTAACTTCCTTCTTTTGTAGTTCTTTTGTTCTCCTTAAGCATTTCTGAGGATTACATGCAGTCCTTGGGGTGGATAAGGTGGAGCAGTGTGCAGTTAAGCGCTCTGTGTTCTTGTGCGAAACAAGTCTGTTTCGCACAAACGGCACAGGCAGTACTTTCTAAAAGGGCTCATGATTGGGGGCATCTTGCCAACAAGTGTGTTCCTCATATAGGGATTGCCAAGAAGCTTTTCTTAGGTATCTCAGGTTGGTGTTACCCCAAAGCTCTCATCTCTTGAGAAATTCTCTGCCAAAGTCCCCTTGAAAATGTTTTTTTTTTTCCAAGTTGTTTGTTCTGATGTTCTCAATAGAGGCCTGATTTTTTCCTATTTAGTCTTGTCAGGAAAATGATATATGAAATCTTAATAATCTTAAAGCTTTCTTTTATTCAAATACCAGGGCTTGAACTAAAATAAGTACTAGACTCACTTATGCTTTCCTTGTTTATGCAGCCTTCTTAGAACCTGCTATCAGTGTGGATTTGATGCTTGCAATAGCCGGTGACACTGAAGCTGTATTGTATCAAGGCATTTATGCACCTGTTTCCCATTGAAATGAATTCGTATTTAAATATCTAGATAGCTTGTAAAACAGGGACCCTCACTCATTCAAACCTTGTAATACCTAGAGATGTGTACAAAGCTGAATTTTTGTTCTGTGGAAGATGAATCATTCTGCATCATATCAAAAAGTCCAATTTTTTTTCTGTGGAACACAGCTTTGGGGGGGAAACAGTCATGTGGGGACATAAACACCTAGGGAGCCTAGGAGGCAGAGAATTTGGTTGGAAATTATGCATTTGCAAAGAACACTTTTATTCCAGAAACTCATCTTTTTCCCCTGAAATTGTATTGAATAGGTGTAGTGTCCTATGTAAATGTACTCCTTTTCACAAGCGTCATGTTTAAGAAAAAGCAAAATTGTCCGTCCACTTAACGGCAGATACTGCAGAGTCCATTTTCTAAATATTGAAGTGGAATGCTATGCTGCTAAATGACCAGGCAGCAAAGGGAAAAGTCAGTCTTCATGGAGAGCCATCCAAGAAAAACACTACTGAAAGTGCAGTGTTTCCAACACTGTGTGTATGCAGGGATTGGGACAGGAGGTACCTGTCCAGTACCAACAGCATAAATGAGAATCTGCCTCAGATTGTGGGATGTATGTATGATTAAGGCAGTAAATGAGTATAGACACCTAGGCTGCTCACACGTGTATACGTATTCGGACCACTGAAATCTGCTCTGTGCGCTGCTCAGTTAGTCACAGTGGCTGCTGTATTTCTTGAGCAATATCTGCACCTCTAAGCTCTTGGTCTGCAGTATGCAGGAGGATGCAAAATGCCTCAAGATAGGCTTTTACTTTGTTATTCTTCCATGGTTGCGATATCATTATACATCATTACTAGGGTATACCTACATGGGGATTTGAACATTTTGTTTCATTGTCTTTCATTATTTTTTCCAAAGTAAACATAAAAATGGAAATAGAAATTTCAACAGCAAAACCAGCATGAAAGGCAAAATACAGCCTTGCACTTTTAACAACAGATGGAAATCTGACTAAGAGAACTGGATTTTTAATTAAATCCGAAAATGTGCAAGAGCAAGTTAAAATAGCTTTCCCATTCAGATTTTATTGGCACCTGTCACAGAAAGCACACATCAGGGGGGCTCAGGGGGGATCCTATCAATATGTATAAGTATCTGAAGGGAAAGTGTCAAGAGGATGGGGCCAGACTCTTCCCAACAGTGCCCAACGACAGAATGAGAGGCAACGGGCAGAAACTGAAACACAGGAAGGTCCATCTGAACATGAGGAAAAACTTCTTGACTGTGAGGGTGACTGAGCGCTAGACCAGGTTGCCCAGAGAGGTTGTGGAGTCTCCTTTGCTGGAGATATTCAGAACTCACCTGGACAGGGTCCTGGGCAATGTGCTCTAGAGGACCCCGCTTGAGCAGGGAGTTGGACTAGATGATCTCCAGAGGTCCCTTCCAACCTCAGCCGCTGTGTGAGTCTGTAAATCAAAGTACTGCTCAAAATTTTGTCTTTTAGGTATTAAGCCTATGAACTCCATTCATAGGAGTTCAAAAATAAGCAGCCAATGTGTTTGTATCAGATGAAAAAGTTAAAAAAAATATATAAATGTAACGTTACGAGGCTTAAACCAATAAGTCTACTGTTGGGAACTGGTAAGATGCCAACAAGGAAAAAAGTCATCTAGTCCTTACATACAGTCTATCCAGTGTGCCTGTTGTAAAGCGTGGTGTAGAGTCATGATTTTAATTAGTTTGATGTCAAAATTTAGATATAACAGAACTTTTTAATAATAGAAAGAGAAACCTTACTGACTTGCTTGAGAACATAAAGCTCCATGATCTTATATCTCTCTTATTTAGCAAGAAAGATTATTGTAATATAAGTAACTAAATAAAATTTATTCAGTTCTTGTTTTGCAGGGAACAAACTCATTGTAAAGGATAATAATAATAATTAAAAAAAAAAACCCTGCTTGAACAGATTCCGCTTATGTAATAATGCAAAGCTTGTAGTGAGAGAAAAAAACATAATATGTCAGAAGATCTATTATAATGCACATTGTACAGCTGGTTAGGGTGTATTATCATGCAAACACTTTAACTCGCATTTACAATATAGTCAATATTGAAATCAGTATCATTTACCTACATGCTAAACCTATGTGAGAACATTTTTCTTTAAATCTGAAAGCACTGTAGCAGGAGGGTCCCCTGAGAGCACAGGGAACGAAGCACCCAACCAATAGGGGCACCAAGGTCTCTGCCCAAATGCCTGTGCTCTGTGGACCCTAGGAATGAATACATGAGAGTGCACCATACAAAATAAGTTCCTTATAATTTGAATTTTGCAGTTTCACACAGGCCTTTCTCCACATCTTAGGGTCTCTGAAGATGTATGTCATTTGCAACCATGATTACAGTGGCATGGACTTTTTATGTAGGCACAAGACAGTAAAATACAGATTGCTGTCTGAAGCAGCAGTTTTCATTCCCCTGGGGAGTAGAGAGGACAGCAGCAGTTACGGAAAAAGCATTAGTGGTGCACGCGGCCAAGCAGGGAATGAAGTCTCTATTCAAAAAGCAAGGTATCGTACAAATGCAAACTGTGTTGTGTGTGCTCTTAATGTGCATTTACTGGTTAAAACCTGAGTCCTAAATGACAGGGAAGAATTAAAGCGGAGGGCAGGAACGGCACTGGCCCGATGAGCCAGCGGCAGCCGGGTGAGGGCCATGCAGCCGCGTGGTGGCAAGGTTGATGGGGATGTGCTGAAGTGCCCTGCGTGGGCAGCTCTGCTTGACCAGCGTGAGTGCAGGATCCCCTAAAGGTTGCTGAGGGTGTTGTGATCCGGTGTCACTGAAGCACGTGAGAAACTGAGCACCGCAGGCTTACGTAGGGGCTGGCAAACAGTCTGTTAATACAGTAGCCTAGAGGAAAATAGTTCCCTGGGTGCGTCTTAACGGCAGCGCTGCAGGGGAGCTGTGGTGCTACCGATGCACCAAGGTGAGGTAATATGGACATGCTGCGAGGGACGGAGGAGAAGCAGCTGCATGGAGGGTGCAGCTGGGAGGGCTGGCATGGGCTGAAATGCGGGGCGGGAGATGTGGAAGGCAGTGATCCAGCCCTTTATTGCCCTCTTCTCTGAGTATAGCGTTGTAGGTGGTGGTGTGTGAAAACAAGACAACATCACAGAGCGACGGTGGTGTGTGCTGACGGGAAAAGTGCCAGTGTTTTCATTTTAAGTAGGACTCTCCCTCTGTAATTACTTTTAAATGCTCTTTGCCAGTTATATGAGCCACACAGTACAGTAGACGCCTTTGAAAGACTCCTTAAAAATAGAGAGCAGATTCTGACGAGACTCTGTTTACACTGGCATTTGCCATGTGGTGTACGTACATATTACAGCGCATTTGAAAACAGAGGCCAAAGCGAGCCATCACAGAAGTGATGCATGCAAACTCCTCATACTGAATTGGCTCCAAAGGTGTGCAATTGCTGAAGCTGCGGTACCATCCAAAATACTTATGCTGCAGATAAGAAGGACATGGCTGCTTTTTCCAGTCAGCACACGTGTGATGTCCGCTCACGCTCACAGCACACCGGGCTTGGGAGGGACTGCTCCTTTCCTCATCGCAGGTCCCAGGGTCCTGGTGTGACTTTAGGGGGCGATACTAAATGTATTCTGGTTTGGATAGGACCTGCATCTCTTGCCCTGCATCACTTCTGTCTCTGAAAGTTCCC